GCGCCTTTTTAACCACCGGCGCAAAAAAGAAATAGCCTAGTCGTGTTCCCAGGAGCCCAAATTTTGTCGGTTTGGGCCGAAATTGGTGTCCGCAGACCAAGCCGAGTCAGCGACTGTGCTTCGTCCTCCTCATCGCCTCGCCTCGGCTCCTGTGCGATTCAATGCTATCGCCGGTCAGCCTTCCATTGATGAAGGACTGGTGTCGCAGTGATGGCGAGCCACTGCAGCGCGTCCCTGCCCTTTCCCGCCACGCGTCTACACCGGTCCCGCCCGCCCTTTCGCCGCTATAAAAGCCGACCTTCACTGCCGCTCGCTGCACACTCACCATCCGCGTATATATTAGCGCTTGCGTCCGTACTGTTTAAAAAATGCTGGTTTTAAAGTATAAATAATGAATAGATTAAAACTTACAGGGACAAAATCTGCCTTTCGCGAGTAGTTGAAGCTCCAAAAGTATACTTTTAAGAAAATGACCTCTATTTTACCTTTTCCAGTTAGGACCAATAAGAGGTCCTTGCACGATTTTATTTTGAATCTGGTACTACCCGCTCTGACACATTTTAGTTCGCATATTAGGTTTGTCTTAAGCCGAATCTTTTGAAGTTTGACCAAGCTTATAGAAAAACATATCAACATTCATATAAAAAATCAATATCATTATATTAGATACTTCCATATTATACTTAGTTTGTATTGTAGATGTTCATGTTTTTCCATGCTATTCGGTCTCAAGACAAATCTAATATGCGCAACAGGGGGAGTACGTGATACAGTCTCCATCCCGTTCATGCCAAATTAATTAGATAACATCTACCTGCCTATTATCCATGCATTAAGTGTGTAACTACCTACCGATCGATGTTGAATCCTAAACACATACATTGAATTGAATGTCTTTTTGGAAGAAAATATTGAGAAGAATGTGCACACGAACTTTTCTAACATAGCGACAAATATAGAAAAATATTTTTATTTGTGAATTATATGAATAGTGAAAAAATTAGCCCTCTTCGATTTTCTGTGTGATACTATATCATTCAAAAATTTATCCAAGCATTTTCATATAGCAAATAGTGGTTAAAGTTGCACGCCTAAGTTCGTGGATTATCAAAAACTTAGAGACAATGCATACAATCTAGCTATAAATTAACGGGACACCCCTGTTAATCTTCGTGAACCAACGTGTGGTTAGATGGTTATAGTGATAGTGGTATCCCAGCCCACCAAAGTTTAAGTCCTGGTGCTCGCATTATTCCTGAATTTACTTAAGAATTTACGGCGATGCGCTTTCAGTAGGAGGAGACGAGACGCTTATAGTGACTTCGTAAATCTCAAAATGATATGCCGGCTTAGTCTGTCGAAGGTGCTCATAGGGGTAGGATATGCATATGTGCTTGCGTCTGTACTATGTTAAAAATCCTATTAATCTTTAATTAATGAGATAAGATAAAATATATGTCTTCACTTTTAAAAACAGTCGGATCAAAGTCCCGGTCTTTCGCCGGCAGGATGACCGACGACGACAGCTCCCCTAATGCCTGGGCACGACCAGGCACGCTGCCGTGGATCCAAGTGCATACAACACAAACAATACGTACCAACGGCGACAATGTCACTTCACACACAAAAAAACTAGCGACCTATCAGTTCCACATCCAAGTCCGCTGCCCCATGGAAAACTTTTTTTCCTTTGAGACAGGTAGCATTCGAACTGACACCCCCCCTCCCCCCCAACAGGGCCCCCAGGGCGCCTTTTTAACCGTCGGCGCAAAAAAATCGCCCAGTCGCGTCCCCAGGAGCCTAAATTTCATCAGTTTGGGCCAAAATTGATGCCCGCGGACCCAGGCCAAACCCAGCGTGCTGGGGGGCGACCGGGGGCGCCAGGGAAAAGAAAAATGGCGTGAAAACAAACCGCGCTAGATCCCCCCTATGGGCCCACCGAGTCAGCGACTGTGCTTCGTCGTCGTCATCGCCTCGCCTCGGCTCCTGTGCGGTTCATTGTTGTCGCTGGTCAACCTTCCATTGATGAAGGACTAGTGGCGCAGTGATGGCGAGCCACCGCGGCGCGTTCCTGCCCTTTCCTGCCACGCGTCTACACTGGTCCCGCCCTCTCGCCACTATAAAAGCCGACCTTCGCTGCCACTCACTGCACACTCTCCATCTCTTTGCCTACACCGCTCCAGCACCGACCATTTCTTCTCTTCACCTTTCTCGCCCAAAATTTCGAGGGAAGCGCCATGGCAGAGAGGTTTCCCGGCGACGGGGCAGCGACCAACGGCTTTGGCCGCCGCTGGCTGCACGAATGGGAAGCTCGGTTGCTGCAAGAAGCGTACTACCTGACGCCGCCCGATATGCGCGTACCGGGTGCATGGCGGCTGAGCGCGGATGGCGTCCCCGTGCCTCCGCTGCCCTCCGACGCGGAACGCCCCACCGTGATCGAGACGATTCGGGCCGCTATGCCGGAGTACGCGCGCGAAGAACCACGCTACGCGGCGGACAACCACTCGCTGTGGACCGCGTACTTTCACTACTAGGAAAAGGGCTATAGATAAGATTGATACTAATGGCGCACCTTGTAAGCAGTGCGCCACTACTATATACTAATGGCGCACCGGCCGGAGGTGCGCCATTAGTGTGGAAGACACTAATGGCGCACCAGGCACACGGTGCGCCACTAGTATTGATTTGTTTTCCATTTTTTCATACACTCTAATGGCGCATGGTGCCAAAGTGCGCCATTACTAGTTCTACCAAGTAATGGCGCACCTTGTAAGCAGTGCACCATTAGTATATAATTTTTTTTTTACTTTTTTGCAAAACTACTAATGGCGCATCGTGTATATTTTCATGGACACTTTTTGATCTCGATCTCGATCCCACCCGCACCCTCCCCCGCTAGCTCCACCGCCGCCGACGACCCACCGCAACCCTCCCCCGCTCCACCGCCGCCGACGAGCACCCGGCCCCCCCGCTCCA